TTAATAAAAAATTAAATCAACCACAATAAAATCAATTATTACGTTCTCTCAACTTTTCTTATTATTTCTTTAATTAATTAATTATATAATCTATATTTTTCTTATTTCTCTAAATAATTGATCATATGTAGCTAAAATTACTAAGAAAAGATGTTGGTCTGTGTTATATAGCGTTCTACTGGACTTTGTTAATAGGAGCGTTGGCAATTTTGTGTTCTTTTTTCCAGAACAATGATGGAATTAGATGTGTTAAGCGCCGATATATCAAAAGCATATGATGATTTACGAACCATTGAGGAATCGATCATTTCATTATCGGGAAAAGAAAGGTCGTTTTTTTATATTATTCATGAAGTATGGTACAAAGAATTTTTTTGAAAGTTGGTGCAGACTAATTTGATTTCGAAGATTATTTCTTGCTCTGTTACATCTTTTCTACATTTTTAAGTTCTCTTGTGACAGGACAAAAAACAAAAGTTTACAGATGCGTGGAGAATTTAAGAACCTTAAACTTTCTCATTTTGCATAAATCAAAACTAGCTAAATATCTATCAGTAGTTTATATTGAAAATGTTCTTATTTCTAGTATTTTTAATTTTGAAGATTTGGTACGGGTAGGAGACGTGTTCAGGATTCTGCTAATCGCCCTGGTAATTATGGATTTGAAAGGTATGTTTACCTTATATTTTCCCCTTCATATCAGTTTTGGGTCATTTTATTTGGTTAAAGGTTATACGAAGAGTTATTTGCAGACGTGATATACGCACAGTAAGCTTGGATTCTTCTGGACCAAATAAACGCCGTTTAGTTATATCTGCTGAGAATGAGTAAGTTTACTGTTTTTGTCGCATGAAAATATTTTCTACATGTTCAAAAAGCAAGTTATCAGGTTCCAAAAAAAGATGTCATCTAATGAATCCTTGAAACGATTCAATTGTCTACTGAGAAAATTATAACAACAAGTAATTTGTAGTTTATACGAGGGTTCGGACAAGCAGGCGCGATACGATGATAGAGAAGATGAAGCTATGCGACGTACTGTACAGTCATCAGTTGTTATGCCTGCTATTGAAACAAAATCGCGCAAAGCTGCCATATCTGAGCTGAAAGGAGCAGAAAAAAAGGAAGTTAATGTCAGGTCAGGTTCTGCACAATATTTTGTCAGAAAAAATACAGGGAGTTTCCAATATTCATTCCTGTTCATAAGCGGAGCGGTGGATTAATGAGAAGTATGGTATGAACGGGAGGTGGGAATAAGAAGTCGAAAGTCGTAGTTACCAATTCACAATAGTAGAAAGAAATCATGTGTTTCGATAGCATTTCCAGAGTCCTGAGAAGCCTTCGACATTATGCAGGATGGAATTTTTTCTAAATGTTTTACATTTCCTTCGAAGAATTAGTTCAGATGAATTCGGACATCGAATTTCGAACTTAGTATTGCGGTGAAAATAATCATTACTGCATGCATACCTTGCGAATTACGCATTGTCTTGGACAGTGATGTCGAATAATTTGATAGATTCATATTCTGCTTTACGTAATATTAATGCATTTGTCCAAAACAGATATATAAATAGTTAAAGCATAGTAGAAGTTAAGTTTGAGAAAATTTCGTTTAGGAATCGTCGAATGTTTTCAAATTTATTGCTTGGAACACTGCAGCGTTTCCAGATGGAAGAAAAGAAAATATCATCAGTAGAAAAAGTTCAGGTATAATTTTTTGGTCGATATGGTTTGTTTCAAATTGGATCGTGTAAAGCTTTCAATAATTTAGCGATCAAATTTTCAGGCTGAAAAACAAAAAGAGGTTGAAAGGCGCTTGCGAGAATCGGAAGAAGAAGAACGCGAACGATTAGCCCGGGAAAAAGCTGCCTTGCTTGGAAAACGACGTGAAAAAGAACGTCTGATCAAATCGTTACAGCGAAGAAAAGCGATTATACAATATGTTAGTTTCAGAGATGAACTAAAAAAAATAAGATCTGCATAACAATCAGCAAATAGCTTTTCTGCTTGATGCTACTAAAAAAGGTTTTCATGGATATTTTTCAATACATTAGCATTTTCCAATTCATACATTTCTTCTGGGTATGGATTTTGAAAAGGCTGTGACATTATTGGGCAGAGGGAATGTTGCTTTAGTGAGTTAATGGGATCAAAACAAAACATCTTTCGAATTTAATATGAGTTTGGATGAAATAAACCTTGAAAACCTGATAATACTCTCTATTGAAGGATAGATTATATAATTATAGGAGAAATCGAACTTAATGAACCAGGAAAGTGTTTCAATAGTGAACACTGTAAGAATCTGTTTGGATTACTTATTGCTGTTCTTTAAAATGCAGTGTGTTTCAGGCAGAGCAAAAGCAGGAGCATTATCGCAAATTGCAAAATTTTATTCAAACGCAGGCAAAGCCACCGGTATTCTATTTACCAGCAAAGCATACATTACGAACTCTTGAACTATTGAAAGTGTCTTCAAAGAAAATCGATGGCAAGTCTTGTATATTTCTAAAAAAAACATGCTCTGTATCAAGTGTTCAGTGCCAATAGTAGTAAATTTCAAAGACTTTTTAATATGTTCGAATTTTTGTTTTTTTCATTTGCAGAACTTATTGAGCATCGGCGGCAACAAATGGAGGCTGATCTAAAAACACCGGAAGATAAGCAAATGGACGAAGGCGATTCTGATGGCGAACATTCTGAAGCTTCAGCAGCTGTGCGCTCTACTACGAAAATGAACGCAACAGATGCAAATAAGCCGTCAAGCAATGAAATTGGCGGCAAAAAGTTGGGTGGTGATGAAGTTAAGGAAAGAGAAGTGGTGGGAGGAGTATCTATGGAATCTTCATTGCGGGTAATTTTCAGAATTAATTAGTTTCAATATACAGTGCTTTTGTTATTCAGATAACGGTAAAATGGAAATAAATCATGATTTATGGCACATTTTTGAAATGTTCCCGAATTTACTATCGAACAACTTCTATCACCTTTTCTACTGTTCTGAAACTTTCATCCTGTTGCAGTTAAAAGTTTTGAAATTTCGGAAAAAAAATTGAATTCTCAACTTTATGAAATATTTTGGAATATTTTATTTATCTTTATCTTTTTCTTTTTAGGACTTCGGCGAGGAAGAATGTATGAATGGCGATGAAAGAAAAGGGCCGAAGCAGCTGGATGAGGACGAACAAGAAACAGGTAAGGATAATAGTCGTAGTGACAGTGAGCCACCAGGTGACGAGGCTGAAATTGATCAGGATGGTGACTCTCATGTTGCATTCGCTGACGACGATGATTAATGATATAAAAATTTCGAGTAAGTGTTCTCGTGAAGTTGAGTTTACAGATTTCCTCAATTTTTAACGGGATGATTGAATTAGAAATTCAGTAATAACTAGAAGTTGATACTTTGAAAAAATGGTAATGTACCTTTGATATGAAATATTACACTATTCGGAAAAGCTATTCGAAGAGAGCCTTTCGCTTTGAGTTCTTATTTAAGTTAACGGATGTCAATTTTCGAATGCAACAATCATAGTTTCTGATTTATATTTTGAAAAGACGTCAGCACCGGCCTGCTTCTGTCCATTTATTCTTTAATTTGGTTTCTTTGTTATGTCAAAATCCAATATTCATAGTAATTTCCTGATAATATATTTCAGGTTCCCTAGCTTTTTTTTTCGTTTTAACTTCCCTTTCAGCTGTTATTTCTTTACAGCTCAGTAAACTTCAGTTAAAAATACCGTCATCATGACATTCGGCATGTGTATTATGTTGCAGCGTTACTGTTTGTTCAGTAAGCAACCTTTTGCTTATTTATAAGTTAGTTAAAAAAAAAAACGAAGTTCTGTCATTCGATTTTCAGTAATAGTTGCACAATCAGGAGTTAACTGCAGTTTATTTTAGTACAATTTCAATAATTTACTTTAATGGGTGTTTGAATTTTTGTTTGAGCGACATACAACTCAGATTATATACGTTGTATTTCTTTTTACTCCGTTTTCACAGACTTTCCCAGCTTGTTTATGGCATTGTTTGTTTAGAGATAAAACTTTTTGTTGCGATTTACAACAAAGAACATATTTGTAACATAATGTTTATTAATAGGAAACACATGCTGCTACGTTTTTTTTGATTTTTTGAAAGCTAGATCGAAGTGAGCTTTATTAGCAGATGCCACTGATGCTATTCAAGTTCTTGTAATTAGTTTTATTCATCTTTACAAAGTTCAAACGTAGTATTGGGATTTCTCCTTGAATAATGTATTTCATTTGAAACGATTACATCAGAAGAACCATAATTGCATTTTAAAATTTATGTCAATATTCAGTACGCTAATTTGAAGTACCATATGATGAAAAATACTATTCGGAAAGGATTAAAATGCAAGTAGTATTTCACTAGTTTTTAATGTACACATTAGATTTCTAGAGAAAATTTGTTTTATTTGAGTCCCAGATCAGAAAGTAGAGCTATTGCTGGAAAGGTGATGAAATTCGTATAAGTCAGTCGAATAAAATTAATGAGATACTTTTTAATGGTTGTATTTTGCTGTTTGGCGAAGTAAGCTTGTATTTTATTTTTTTCTGCTTCAAATATTCCTTTTATAGATTAGAATATATTTGCCTTATTTTGAAATAAGAACTAATTAGCTGCCTCCCGTTTGTTTGTAAAATCCAGATTCCGGTAATTTTCTGATTTTATCAGGCTGAATAGAAGAGTAATGTGTAACGACGGTGTTATCTTGATATGCAGTGTGCGTGAATAATAATATTGGACTTGATTCTGAAATACAACAGTGAATAAATGCATTCAAAAAATCGGACAAGATTAAAAATTTGCAAAAATCACGGAGGTAAAATTTTTTTAATCATTAGTGGTTTGCAGAATGAAATTTCAATACATCAAAAATCGATCTGAAAAGATCTTAAAATTATCAATTAACTTTCCAGACAAATTTATTCGTGAATATTTCAAACGGCAAAGAGAAAGCTTATATTAGGATGTGATTTGTATCATACGAGAAATGATTATTTTATCAGTCTATCTGGTGGGCCATTGTGTTTTACCATTAATGGTTCTTTTGCTGGTTGTTTTTCGCGAAGTACCTGAACACGCTTTTGTACCATAGCTGGTTGTTGTTTCACCTAGAATTTTAAAAAGAAAAAAAATCTTTAAAGACTGTCAGTACTTTTCTTGAAACCTTACTTTTGCCTTACTTTTTTCTTGCAAAATTTGTTTTTTTCCTCTTATAAAATATGTAAAAGTGTGGAAAAGAACGTACTTGATCAATACTTAAAACACCGCGACGCTTTTTGGGTAATTTGGAGCGAGCTTGCGTGTGAGAATAAAATAGAGCAAAATTGCTAACTATCACCTGAAAGAACAGAAGAAAAATCGATCCATATATTAATGCAGTATCACGTAATATCTTAACAAATTAATAAACGATTTGAAAAGTATGACTAAATTAATTGGAAAGAAAATTTTAATTAATCATTACAAGTTTACACATGTAAATATAGGATGGGTAGTAAACAGGTAAATTTCAATAATATTATTTCCATCAATTAATTTCTATGACTGATCTTAGTACAAAATATTCACATAAATTTATTTTTCTTGAATAGATTTCCGGAAATTTGTCTATTGTTATTACAATTATTTTCACTCATTCATTATTATTACTAATATTATTATTATGTAATATTTACGGGAACGGGTAATGCAATAGTTAAAACACCGGCAAGTGCACACATTGAACCAATGATACGTCCCAAATATGTATGAGGGGTCATATCACCATAACCAATCGTTGTCATTGTTACTACCTGTTAAGAAAATGGTAAACAAATTATATATACATATATATAAATTATATATACATATATATAACATTATATATACATATTTATATATATATTTTATTTATTTAATTGCTTAATAAAAACTGATTTGAATAAATTTTTGATCAAAATTTCCACTAATTCTGCTTATTTTCGGTACAATTTTTTCTTTTGTTATCATTTACTCAATAAAGTTTAAAAATAATTCAAAAGTGAATAACAAAATAAATCGGAAAATAAATTGTAAGAGAAATTTATTTCAAGAACAGAAAATTTTCTTTGGGATAAATATTGAAAAAGATATATTTACTTACAGCCCACCATAAACCCGATGGGATACTTTGAAACTGATTTTCAGGATTTACTTCAACTCGTTCTGCATAATAAACTAACGATGCAAATACGACGATACCAAGAATAAGAAAAAATACCAATAACATCAATTCATTAGCACTTGCCCTAAACAAATTTAAGAAAAAATTCATTTACTCAAATATTTACCTATCTTTAAACCAAATAAATATCTATTAATTTTAAAATAGATGATATATACATATATGCATGAATGAATATGTATTAAAATATCTAAAAAAAAATTAGCAAAATGAGATTTATGACTAACTATCATAGCATTAATTAAAACCTGAAAGTATGCATGAGAATCTTGAGGCCACTAGAATGCTGAGTCAGTTTGAACAGGCGCATAATTCTAACAATTGAAAAGAATTCGAGATCAGCTGTTGAACCATATGTTGTCATTAATAAATCCAAATAAAATGTTAGCGTAGCTATTAAATCTATTATATTCACCTGTAAATGTACAAATTGAAGAAAATAAAAATGGAATATTAGTTGGTTAACAAATTTGCAATATTTACCTGTAAAAATTGTTAATTAAAAGAATGTAGCTTGAAATTTCAACTTTTTGATTTAAAAAAAAAAAAAGAAGAAGGTGAAATAACAAATAAGTATGATAGCTTTGCTTCAGAAGTGTTGCAAAAATTACTTTTTGAAAAATCAAAAAAATCGAAATTTTGGTTTTTCTATTTTTTCGAAAGCAATAAGCAAATATTTATTCATTCATTATAAATTATTAGATTATTTACTATTATTAGATTATTTATTATTGGATTATTTCATTATAAATTATTAGATTATTTAGTAAATTATTTACCGGCGTTTTAAAGTATTTAATTTTGCTAGGACAAGTTATAAATCGAATTAATATTTCTATTGTGAACCATACATTACATATCGCTTCAACTATCTGAAATGAAGAATTGAATTGTTAGAAATAGCAAAAGAACTTTCCAAAAAAAGATCTTATATAAAATTTAGGTAAAAAGTGAAACTTAATAAAGCTGTTTTCCAAAAATTTTATTTATATGGAAAACTATCACATAAATTATTTAAAATAATTCAACATTTGCATATAATAATATAAATAGAATAAATAAGCTTACCAAAAAACCCGGATGAGGCTTAGAATTTTGTTTATCAATACCAATTGTTCCGGCACGATATTTGTTTGGGAAACCGATGGGATAATAATAACGACCAGAAGTAATATTGATTTGCATATCATCTAATTCGGCAACCCGTAAAGCGGGATGTGTTTTAAGACAAAACACGAAGATAGCTATGATAAGGAAGAAAACTGATACAATGGCAATTATCTGGAAAATATATCATTTCAAATCATACTTTACACAATAATTATATTATAAAAATTTCCAAAATTATGAATCGAAAGCCAAAATAGTAATGAAATACAAAGAATGTAAAAGGTTAAACATATCAAATGATTCATTTCATTCTTTAGTTTATTAATGATTACAGAGCTAGAAATTTTAATGAAAATTAATTCAAAAAATAAAGATTAAAATAAAATGTGGCCAAAAGGTAAAATCTAAACTCAGTTATTTAATCTGAACTTAAACGAAATTGGTTATTTTATTTTTTTAAGCTTACTTCATTATTTAATCGAAGCATCTTAATTAATCAATAATTAACTATTCACTTAATTCAATTTGCTTTATCACTTGGCTCAGTCACAGATAGCTAGAAAAGAAGAAAGCCATGATACTCCAAGAACAAATTTGTTTGTTCACTTTTCGATTAATGATTGAATTTTCGGAACTTTTATTTCAAAATAATTTTCTTTGGCATTCAGCAAAGTTGAACCTTTGGAATTAACTTAATTTCGACGACAAGAAACGAAATTGTTGCGAAATATAGAAGTTTAGAACAAAATTGAACGAAAAGAAAAGCTAACGAACTTTTGCCCCGTGGGATGAGTAAGGTTCATCGAATAAATGCCAAATTTTTGGCTTCAATTTTTGCCATTTTGATAGCGAATGATTATGATAGTCATCTTCCCAACCAAATCTAAAGAATAAGTAGTTTACTATACTTTTAGTTCCTAGAAAATATAAATAAATTAAGGATAATTCTAAAAAATAAAATAGGAGGAAATATTTTAATAATAAATTTTGATTTTCAAAATTATACATAATCAAACAATATGTATATATATATGTAATATAATTATCAGATATTTCTGTTTTTTATCATAAATATATGAGATTTGAAATAATATTTTTAGTTTTAATTTCAATTTGGTTTTCGAAATAGAAAAATGTAGTAGTCTCTAAGAAGAAATTTTATAAATTTCAATAATTCTTAAGCAATTATTAAAATAAATATATACCGTCGATAAACTTCTTCCGGATCCTTCAGATGATTTTCATCAAAATCGATATCAAGTTTATCGAGAGTGGTTAATACTTCTTGGGTGTCACGATGTTGCGTATATGTCATCCAACAACATGGCTCAACTTCACTAGCATCCAAACCCCAATACTAAAATGTGATAAGCATCAATTGAGATATCATTACATTCTAAATAATAAGAAGCGGTATTAGGGAAAATGTAATTTGCCTTATAAATGAAGCATGAATTCAACCGTTAATTATTGAATTAACATATCTTTTATTATTGACATCTATGTTTTTTGATCCACTTCTTAAAGTATTAACAACACATTTAAATAATATTTATTTTCTGATTAAAATTTCATAAGTATTGATTTAACTACTGGCACTTTATTATTAATAGTGCATAATAAATTAATTACTACGAACTTCGAAAACTAATAAAATGATACATAAATTTAAAATAATAATAGTAATTAAAAATTGTGCAAACAATATAGTGTAAAGAAGTAATTTAGTTTAATCAAATAACTGCTTATTTATGTAATAGAATAAAATACAATATAGTTAATGGTTTGGAATATATTTGAAAGAAACAAGATTATCATATTTCAAATACATATTAATAAGTACAGGTAAAATACCTTTAATTCTTCCTCAAAAAGTGGCCCGCAAACATCCAGCGGATAATGCAATTTGCCAGTGCGATAATAATTCAAAATAAGAGCAAAGACGCCAGGATGACGATCAAAGAAGTATTCATTAAGGACCGGATCATAATTAGCCAAATTTTGTGTTAAACGACTTAAACGTGTGGCCGGAATTTTTTTAAGCGTATGTTTGTATGTTTCATGTCGTATACCACCAACATTCAAGATAACACGATATTCACTATCCATCGTATTACTTCTATAAAATTGATTACTTTCAAAAAATTTGAAATAAATATGGTTATGATAATTGTTTGAAAAAAAAAATAATATATTCTTCAAATATATTTATTGTTTTAAAAAAATATAACTGCGTGTTTAGTAATTAAACATTATATATCCGAATTTTATAATCATATTGGATTTTTTAAAAGTGAAATTTTATTAAGTGAAAATAATGTGAAGAATTTGAATGTTGAAGTTATTTCAAAAAAAGATGCCTTAGAAAAATCATAGAAACAATAACTGTAAATTATTACAATTATTTCTTTATTTCAAAATAATTTTAGGAGAGGAAAATATTATCTCTCAGTTGACCTTTTTTAAAAAATCAAACATAAAAGAGAAACGATATGAATGGATAATATATAGATATATATATATAAATGTTGAAATAAATAAATAATGAAATGGATGAAAGAGAAGTGAAGGATAAAAAGAATTTAAGCAATTAGCATATTTAATTCTTAAATTTCGACTTTTGCAACGACAAAAATGCATATACTATAAAAGTAAGCTAAAGAAAAAGGGAAAGGATAAGATGGGTGGCAATAGCAAATGCGATGAGTGATTTAGCTCGAAAAAAAAATGAAATAAAAATTTGTTATAAATTTTCATTTGAAACTCTAATATATAACATATATATTTAATATTATGTATGTGATAAGGATGAAATGATAAGATAATTTTGTATAATTTTGTGTTTAATTAAAAATCAAAAAGAAATTTTTTATTTTAATTTTACTTCAAAAAATGATTTTAAATTTAAAAAGAAAGAGAAGTAAAAAATGGAAAGGAACAATTAATTGATGAGAGAAAAAGAAAAAGAGAAAAAAAAAGAGAATTGAATTTATGCTTTTACATACAAAAAAGCGACAAATTCTGAAAAACTGAATGAAAGAAATCAGGAAAAAGTGAAAATTTGATAAATTTCTATTCATTTAATTGAAAACGTTCCGTTTCTTTTCCTTTCCTTTTTTTCTTTTCCATAATAATTTCTATTCATTTTTATGAAATATATATTTATTTGTTTTTTTCTCAAAAATTTAATTCATTTTTTTCATCGTTTTAAATTTCTCTCATAATATCTTCCTTTTTTTCTTTTCTTATTCTCTCTTTGTCTTTTCTTTCTTCCACCGTTTCCAATCCATATTTTATCAATGATTTCTAAATTTTTCATCAATAATTCATCACATATTTATATCGAAAATATACGGTAAATAATAATAGCATGGATAATAATAATAATAAAACGAATGGTTGGCTGGAAATATGCTAATGAATTTGCTAATTGAACTTTCCATTCATTTCACTTTTCTTTCACATTGATTTATTCCTTTGAAATGTTCGTTAAAAATTTTTTTAACTATCAATTTATCGTTCGTTATATTATAATAAATGCTATATTATTTGAAATACATTACATCTAACTCATATTATTATTATGCCATTTTTATTTTCATTCAAAAAGATTACTAAAATTAAGAATTTTATATAAAACAAATTGAATTGAAATTGATCAAAATTTTCGAACATTTTTAGATTAAAAATATATTATATTATTTATTGATTTATTGAGATTTTCTTATATAACGATATTTAAATAATGTCAAAAATATTGAAGCATTAGATATAATTTCGGAAATAGTAACAATAATTAATAATAATAAATAATATTAATAATGATAATTAATTAGTAGTAGTAATTAATAAATAATAACAATATAGAAATTGTTATAATAAATTGAACCGAATTAACTGAACTAAGATTGGATAGGTCGATAATAAATGGAATTAATATTACTAATTGATTAATTTTACAAAATAAATTTTGATAAATAATAATGCAGGATATTTATTTTGTAGGATAAACAATAAAGTGTTTTATGTATATTTTGTAGCTTTTCAAGCGACGACAATTAATTAAAGAAATTTTATGAAATATCAGCTAGTAAATAATTCATTTTATACTTGTCCGTCGCAAATGCAATAAATATTTATGCAAAAAAAAAGAAGGAAAGAAGTTTAAGGTATAAAAATATCCAACGACAGCTGAAATATTAAATAATACATTCAATATATACGTACATACCTGATAGTATCATTGCTATAAATATTATTCCTTAATTATGATTTCGCAGGTGAGTTGTAAAAGCTAGTTGCATATAGAAATTGATGAAGATAAGATAATAGTAATGTTGAAGATTAAAATGTCGAATTTCATGAAATAAGGAAAAGGAGAATGATTATTTAGTTAATATTAAGATAGATATGAATGAATGAATGTAAAAGAGAGAAAAGGGAAAAATTGCGGAGAAATTAGGAAGTAAAGAAAATTTGAGATATATAAATAAATTTAATTTTTGAATTATATTTTATAATTTGGAAAAGAAAAAAAGAGTATGCCAAAAAATATAATATAATATAAAATAAAATAAAATTAAATATAATAAAAATATAATATAATATAAAATAAAATAAAAGAGAGCAAAATATATGATGCCAAAAAATATAATATAAAATAAAATATATAGTAATACAGAGAGTAAAATATATGAACAGAAATTTTTTTTTTGTTTGTTTTCTTTTTCCTTGCAATATTTCTAAATGATTTGGAGAGTTCAATAGGAAGAGATGATGGAATAATTTAATAATTTGAAATGAAATAAATGAAAGAAGAAATGAATAATAAATGGATATATTGAAGTGTGTATTGTGTTTATTCCTTTTTGCTGCAATGGGATGGAAATAGAAGACGACGGAAAAATGAATGCAAAGAGTTGAACAAAAGAATCAATAGTAAAGTGCTAATGATAATATTAAAACAAACGGAAGATTTCATAAACATTTCAAGAGAGAATCAACTGGGAGTGATTCTTTTTCTAGGAATTTGTGAATTTCATTAATTGGAAATTAATGAAATTCAATTTTGTATGAAATAATGTAATATATTATTATTCTTTACAATTATTATATATGCCAGCAAAATGTTACGACTATTTAGGTTTCTGTGTGTTTTCATTTATTTCAAATCGTATCATTCAATTGTTGAAATAGTTGTGCCAGCTGATTTTCATCATTTTTTTTTTAAACAAAATTTCAGATAAAATTTAATTTTTTTATTTCAAATATTTTTTTCTCTTTTTTTTTTAAGAAAAAGCTTTTTTCAATGATTTCACAAAATGTTCGATTTTTCTCAGAATTATTTACATTATTTCCTTATTAAATTCGATTTGTCTTTATATTATGAAAATTTGATAATTTCAATATAATTATGTTTTGTAGCAAAAGGAAAAAAAGAAACGGAACGATATGCAAAATCGGTTTCCGAATTAACAATCCGTGTTTTCGTAATAACGTGTAAATCTGAAGATTAACGCGTAAATTCGCAAGATTAACGCATAAATTCGCAAGATTAACGCGTAAATTCGTAACTAAAATAATAGCTTATAGTGCCAACAAGATGATATGCATAAGTTATATACTTCCATCTTTATATTATAATCATAGAAGTTTCGACTCATGAAATCGAATTGATTTGGACTTAATCTATATTATAAAATTTTTTGCAACATTTCAAATGATGAAATAGAAACTTCTTCCAATAGTAAAATAATACCAACAAGCTTATAGTACCAACAAGATGATATGCATAGGTTATATACTTCTATCTTTATATTATAATCATAAGACGAAAGCGGCTGGTTAAAACGGAATATGAAATTATCATCAAGTAAAGCTATGCTCAGCATTTTTTCAATTTAATAAAAACCAAAAAGTCATATTGCAAAGTTCAATGTACCCATTCATTTGATTTTCTTTCTCTTACTTACTTTCGTTTTAATTGTGGTTGGTAATAAAAAAGGTGAAAAGATGAATTTAGAAATATATTTCAATAATGAAAAATTAATTGCAACTAAATAGAAGCAAAGAACATAAAATTAGAATTAATTTAGTTGCTTTTGAAATTACAAATTTGCATTTTTTTTCTTCTATTTAATATGATAAGCTATTCCAATTTTAATATTATGAAATCATTTATTTAATATTTGCCTTATTTGTTGATAATTAATTTAATTTAGCATTAGATTGCATAGAAATATAAATATATTTCATTTTATTATGTCCTTTTTAGCTCCTTTTTTTTTCAATTTCATAATGTCATTTTGGAATTCGACAAAATTTTCGATTAAAATTGATTTCAACAATTTTACAAGAATCATTTATAGAAATAAATTATTAATGACAAAAAATTTCCTTCTCTTTCTCGCTTAAACAAAATCAAAGAATCACTAAGTTGGCAGTAATCTTCTCGTTATTTCAATGAAATAATGATGTGATAAAATCTTTCATTCATATGTTATCATTAACATTCCAGAAGAGAATGATACATTCATCATTAATTTATTTATTTTAATGATTTAAATTAATTCAAAGAGAAATTAAAATTGCAAAAAAAAAAGAAAAACAATAAACCAATAAAAAAGAAAATGAACTTCAAAAAATTAAGAATATCGAATAATTTAGCATTTTTTAAATTATATCTGAATTTTTACCATTAAACTTATACCAAAAAAATTATACCATTAAACTCATTAATTCATATTGTCGGAACAAAATCTGAAATGCATGAGATATGATAAATTCAATTATCAAATCATTAAAATGAATTGAATTTTTTGCTAAATTTATTTGCTCTAAATGAATTGATAAAGGATTAAAGGATATGAAAAAGATATTTATTAATTATTAATTCATTTAATTATTAATAATTTTTTTTTTTTTTTGTTATCAGAAATCAATTGTTAATTAAATAAAATTTGCGACTATAAATAACAATCATTTTGTCGTTCTAAGCATTATATGGATGGAATGTTATCAGTACTAATTGATTAGTATTATCTTTAACTGTTTTGTTAAATTTATAAGAGTCCAGTAGAGAAATATCATAGAATTAACTTTAAATGAAA